TAAAGTGAAAGAGTGTATCACTCTCAATACAATGATTTGTTGGGGTTATTTTTATAGTATTTGTTTGAGGGAATATTTTATGAGAGATATTTTTATAAAATTTTTACACAAATATCCTCCACAATGATGAGATATCTACTTTGGACTTAAGCCCTCACAATTTTGTTTTTGGTCATCACTCAAAAGACTTTTCTTTATTGGAGTATGAGTATATTTTATAATTCGTTATTTTTTCTTTTATTTTATTGACGTGGGACTTGTTTGTCTTAACATGATTATATATGAGAACATAAATAATTATAAACCTACAATTGCAGGAGAGATGCTGGTTGGACCAGCAAAAGTTCTATTCATGGATGAAATATCTACCGGTTTGGATAGCTCAACAACTTATCAAATCGTGAATTCACTCAAGCAAATTGTTCACATTTTCAAAGGAACCGCTGTCATCTCACTCCTGCAGCCAGCACCAGAGACTTACAATCTTTTTGATGACATTATTGTACTCTCTGATAGTCACATTGTGTACCAGGGTCCTCGTGAATACGTGCTTGAATTTTTTGAATCAATGGGTTTCCAATGTCCTGAGAGGAAAGGTGTGGCTGATTTTTTGCAAGAAGTAAGTGTCTTGTATCTTGTCTCAATAGTTTTCTGTTTGCAGTGGTAATAGAAAGTTTTATATTTTAATTTTGAGTTTTTACGATTAATTATTATGTTATAGGTAACATCAAGGAAAGATCAGGAGCAGTACTGGTCACACAAAGATCAGCCTTATAGATTTGTCACAGCCAAACATTTCTCAGAGGCACATAAGTCATTTCATGTTGGGAGAAGACTTGGTGAAGAACTCGCTACTGAATATGACAAGTCTAATAGCCACCCAGCTGCTTTGACAACAAAAAAGTTTGGAGTGAGAAAGTGGGAACTGTTAAAAGCATGCTTATCAAGAGAATATTTACTTATAAAACGCAATTCATTTGTTTACACCTTCAAGCTTAGCCAAGTAGGTTTCCAAATTGGAGTATTTCATTGTTGTGTCATCTAATGCTATTAGTCTTACTGATAGCTTTTCCCTCCTTTTAGCTTGCTTTAATGGCATTTATTGCCATGACTATTTTCCTCCGGACTGAGATGCACAGAGATTCAGTGACTGATGGCGGCATATATGTGGGTGCGTTGTTCTATGGCGTTGTTGTGATTTTGTTCAATGGATTAGCTGAACTTTCCATGGTCGTTTCAAGGCTTCCTGTTTTCTACAAGCAAAGGGATGATCTGTTTTTTCCTTCATGGGCATATGCTTTTCCTGCATGGATCCTAAAAATCCCCATGACTTTTGTGGAAGTGGGCGTTTGGGTATTTCTCACCTATTATGTCATTGGCTTTGATCCACATGTTGGAAGGTAAAAGAAATTTGTTATTACACATACTCAGCAAAATGTTAAATGAACTTTTCTTGTCCCATTTTCTATTTGAATTCCATACAAAAAAAAAATAATGATATGTATTTTATGTCTACCTAATGCAGATGTCTTAGGCAATACCTTGTTCTTGTACTAGTAAACCAGATGGCTTCAGCATTATTCCGATTAATTGCAGCAGTTGGGAGGGAATTGACAGTAGCTGTAACACTTGGGTCGTTTTCACTGGCCACCCTTTTTGCTATGAGTGGTTTTATCCTATCCAAAGGTACCTTGATACAAATAAAAAAAATCAGTCTTTCTTCCATTGGGTTCTAGACTAACAATGCTCTTTTGTTCCATTTATGCCCTCAGACAAAATAAAAAAATGGTGGCTATGGGGCTTCTGGATATCACCTATGATGTATGGACAAAATGCTATGGTAAATAATGAGTTCCTAGGGAACAGATGGAAACATGTAAGAATTTGACTAATCTGTATGTTTACTTTTATGCCTTCATTATCATATAAATAATATGATATTTGAATATATTTTCTTATGATAGGTTCTACGTAACTCAACAGAGCCGCTTGGAGTTGAAGTTTTGAAATCTCGGGGATTCTTTACTCAGTCATACTGGTACTGGATAGGTGTTGGGGCTTTGATTGGATATACATTACTTTTCAACTTTGGCTACATCCTCGCTCTAGCATACTTGAGTCGTGAGTGTATTCAACTCAATGTATAATAAACCAGCTAAGGTAAACCTATGTACTAATAAAAATTGATTTTGTAGCACCCGGGAAGCATCGAGCTAATATATCAGACGAACCTGAAAGCAATGAGCAGAATGGTTGTAGTAATAAAGGAACTAATTTGATGAGGAACAAAAAATATAGCTTTTCTCAGCAATCAAACAGAGGTAATTCTCATATCAACTGATAACATAGTAATGACTACATTAATGGCGGTTGATTTTCAATTCACATTATGCCTAACGGATAACACTGGAGCTACTTCACAGTGAGAAATGATAGAAGTATAAGTGGAAGCACATCTTCTCGTACTTTACCCACTAGTAAAAGAGGAATGGTTCTCCCTTTTGAACCACATTCCATCACCTTTGACGAAGTAAGATACGCCGTGGACATGCCACAGGTAATGGAGAAAACAAGTGAAAACGCTTGCTTATTCAACTTTCAAAGCAATATTGTGAATTAAAAAATTATCAAATACTTGCAGGAAATGAGGAACCGAGGTGTCGTGGAGGATAAATTGGTGCTTTTGAAGGGTATCAGTGGAGCTTTCAGGCCAGGTGTTCTCACTGCTCTAATGGGTGTCACTGGTGCAGGCAAAACAACTCTGATGGATGTACTTGCTGGTAGGAAAACAGGAGGATATGTTGGAGGAAATATCACAATCTCTGGCTATCAGAAGAAGCAAGAAACATTTGCAAGGATTTCTGGCTACTGTGAGCAAAATGACATCCACTCTCCTCATGTTACCGTCTATGAATCCTTGCTCTATTCAGCTTGGCTCCGATTGTCCCCAGACATCAATGCTGAACCCAGGAAGGTTGGTATTTAAATCCTATGCCTTTTACTGGCTTTCATGTTTATTTTATTTAGTTTAACATAGGCTTTTAACCAGTTTGAACACTAGAGATTTCCATTAAGTGACCAATTTAGTGATGCTTCATCCTTGTCCAACATGGCTTATTAAAATATTTGAGCACTTCCCTTTTCCAGATTGAGCTGCTACTACAAGTCCATGCATGAGGTTGCATGTATATTTTCACAGTATCTGCATAAGAGCCAAAACTAAATTTATTTGACATTCATGGATGGAATTATTGTCATAAGAAAAGACACAGGGAAACAAATTTATGCGTCTTACAAGGAAAAATAAAACTTAAATGTTTAGTCAATGTTATTAAGACTGAAAACGATTAATGGTTGCAGATGTTTGTTGAAGAAGTCATGGAACTTGTGGAATTAAAACCACTAAGGAATGCATTAGTTGGATTGCCTGGTATTAATGGTCTGTCCACAGAGCAACGCAAAAGGTTGACAATTGCTGTTGAACTTGTGGCAAATCCTGCTATAATATTGATGGATGAGCCAACTTCTGGGCTAGATGCAAGAGCTGCAGCTATTGTCATGAGAACAATTAGGAACACAGTTGACACAGGAAGAACAGTTGTTTGTACCATCCATCAGCCTAGCATAGACATATTTGAATCTTTTGATGAGGTTAAACAAACAGAACAATGTAGCAATTTCAGTTTGCCCTTTTCCATTATTGAATTTTTAACCTTTTTGTCGCAATGAAATGCAGCTTTTGCTAATGAAGCAAGGAGGACAAGAGATATATGTGGGACCACTTGGACATCATTCTTCCCATTTGATTAGTTACTTTGAGGTAGAAAATATGCTATGAAAAATAAGGAATACCGAAATCATGTTTTCCTTTAGATCATTATTTTCATGTAAATATTTCACTAATGTCACACATTTATCCTGAAGGGAATCCATGGCGTCAATAAGATTAAAAATGGATATAATCCGGCAACATGGATGTTGGAAGTCACGACTTTGGCAAAAGAAATGGAATTGGGAATTGATTTTGCTGAGGTGTACAGAAATTCTGATTTATACAGGTATTTTCAGTTGTGTGAAGTCTAATAAAGCTACAGAACTCAAAAGTAATCTGCTAGAAAGCACTTAAGGGCTTAAATTGCAATAAGGTTTTTGTTATTTCTAAAACTATTTACATTATATTGAAATAGAGTGTTTGCTGATATTTGGTCTTTGGCATTTTGTTTCAGGAGAAACAAAGTTCTTGTTAAAGAATTGAGTACTCCAACTCCTGGTTCAAAAGACCTTTATTTTCCTTCACAATACTCAACTTCCTTCTTCACCCAATGCATGGCTTGCTTATGGAAACAACATTGTTCATACTGGCGAAATTCTCAATACACTGCTCTAAGATTTCTTTACTCAACTACTGTAGCTGTTTGGCTTGGGAGCATGTTTTGGAACCTTGGCTCCAAAATGTATGATCAATCTAAACTTGAAAATGGTGTCTTCAATCTCATTTGTTGTGTTGCTAGAGTTCGATCTAACAGTAAAGATTCACATCAATTATTGCAGTGAAAAGCAACATGATCTTTTCAATGCCATGGGTTCCATGTATGCTTCTGTTCTCCTTCTTGGTGTTAAGAATGCTAATGCAGTGCAGCCAGTGGTTTCTGTTGAGAGAACAGTCTTTTATAGGGTAAGAGCAGCTGGAATGTATTCAGCATTTCCATATGCTTTTGCTCAGGCAAGCAATTCCACATTTTAAATACGAGTCTTTTATTTGACTGTTGGTATATATACCCTGCTAAATCTTAATCTTCCTAACAGTTAATAAATAAAATATATGAAAAATAGATTAAGAAACATAAAAAGTAGTAGTTGTTTAGAGTTTGGACGATTACTATGAGAATTTGAAATTTGTACTTCAACGTACTTCATTATTCAAATGATTTACCTGTGTCTTATTTCTAGAAAATTTCTATTTTTTGTTGCAGGTTCTGATTGAGCTTCCCTATGTACTTGTACAAGCCTTGGTCTATAGCATTATAATTTATGCCATGATTGGTTTTGAGTGGAGTGTCGCTAAATTTTTGTGGTGCTTATTCTTCATGTACTTCACCTTCCTATACTTCACCTACTATGGTATGATGTCAGTGGCAGTGACCCCAAACCAACATATTTCCGCTATAGTTTCCTCTGCATTTTTTTCAATATGGAATATCTTCTCAGGATTCATAGTCCCACGGCCAGTAAGTTGTCTTCCTTTCATTTTATGTGCACTGTAGATTCATACTATTACTATGGAAGCATAGAAAATGATAAATTTATTTTATTTTCCATTTTGGCATGGTCTAACAGAGGATCCCAGTATGGTGGAGGTGGTACAGTTGGGCAAATCCAATTGCTTGGAGTTTGTATGGATTGGTGGCTTCACAATATGGTGATATAAAGAAAAGCATAGAATCAAGTGACGGGAGTACAACAGTGGAAGGCTTTGTAACAAGTTACTTTGGTTTCAAGCATGATTTTCTGGGAGTGGTTGCAGCTGTGATTGTTGCATTCCCAGTAGTCTTTGCATTGATCTTTGCCATATCAGTGAAGGTGTTTAATTTCCAGCGTCGTTAGGAACGCATTCAAGTATTTTGTATAGATGTTCCACGTAACGTTTGTAAGAAACTATGCACATAGCGTTTTGTATTCTTTTATTTATCAATTAAATGTATCATAGTCCAATAGTAGATATATGTACCATTAGATACAGGCATAGTTTTAAAAACCGAACCGGTCATCGAACCGGTTAAGAAAAGTCTCACTATATATACAATATATATAGGTATATATATCTATTTGATATATAGTCACACAATTTTAGTGTTGATTTTGAATGAGATTTAACAACATATTTTATATGTTATTATAATCTATACCCATATTTTTTTTAACAATATATCAATATATATTGTATTTATTATGTGATAAACATAACTTTTAATGATATATATAGTGTCACTATAAGATGTGTGTTATTATATGACAATTTTCTTGTAATGTTTCTAATTTTTTCTAATTTGTAACGACTAGTTTGATTTTCATCCTTTTTAGTGTGTAAGAGTGGAGATCCAACTCCATGACTTGTTGCATCCTTATTGTCGTGTTCACCTAATAAAGGTAATGTAAAACAAATAGTATTAGATATGAGACTAGATGTTATAAAAAAAAAGCTTATTAATTAATGAACTACAAGTTTACTTGTATTTTATAATCTTGAGCTCAGCCACGATGTGACATTCACTTGTCAACCCAAATGTTATAATCATTTCTACAAAAGTAAATGAAAGCAAATTTTTAGTTATTGCCGCATAGTGTATAAAAAAAATAGATTTTTATTTGGGAAAAAAATGTTGGGAGCAACCTGAGTTATATATATATATATATATATGTCTTGTTACGTTGTTCTTGTTGATTTTAAATATTAAAGTAATAATAAGGTCATGCAAAATGATCTCTTTATTATTTATTTTAAAAAGAAAGTTTTAACTTCATTATTTTTATAAGGTTATTTCATATATAACCTCACAATAGTGAGGTATTATCCATTTTAAATCTAAATTTTTACCTAATTTTATTTTTGATCATTTTTCAAAAGTAGGTCATCATTTAAGAGAGACTACATGTGTTAGTTTGAGCGTGAATTAATGTGCTTCGGTTCATTTTGGGCTTCAAAGTCCCATATATATAGGTCATGTTATCTTGTTCATGTCAATTTTAAATATAAATTAATTAAGGTAATTATAATTAATAATACTTAATAAATTATCATCATTTTAAGAAGAGAGTCATAATTTTATTATTTTTATAAAGTTATTTCATATTTAATTTCATAATAATGAAATATTGTCAGTTTTAAATCTAAATTCTCGTCCAATTTTACTTTTAATCGTCTTTCAAAAGTCTCTTAATCATTAAAGTATATATGTGATTTATAAATTATTATTATTTTTTCTTATTTTATTGATGTGAAATTTTATTTGTATTTTAACATAATATGTTTTTGTATATTATATGAGGATTCCCTCATTGCTTGAAAGTAAATAATAAAAAAAACATAGAGTTGAAATAAACATATAGAAGGCGATGAGGACATACGAATGGCTTATAAAGTTGCACCACTTTGGACAGTGGCATGAAAGCCGTGGCCCTTCATTGCATGGGAAAAAAGATTTGACCTCATTCTCATGTCTAACAATGATGGAATTAAGGTACGCACTTAATTTCATAATAGGAGTTAGGAAATTCAAACCACGTCTTTCTTGATTTGCTTTACCTACATGGAATATTTCGAGAGTGGAAATATAATGCACGTGCATGCGTATAAATTATATATTATGTGATTTTCTTGTTTCATGGTTTTGTACAGGCAACAAACTTACTTCGTATAATGGTGGTTCGTAGCTTGAATAAAATGCCATCTTTTTTTATTTTATTTTATTTTATATGCCATTTTTTTTGGTAAAGATAAGAAAAATTATAAAGATGGTCGCAATGAGAATTGAACCTAAGTCTTCATGTTTCTAACTAACTCAACCCTTCCCCACTCAACCACTATGCTAACCCTAATGATTATTTTATATGCCATCTGAATTTCCACTCAAGAAACATTGAATATAAGTGAATCAAATCAAGGAATATATCCTTCATTATCATCCATGAGAATATAGGTCAAATCTTTTGCCATTGCAATGAAGGGTCACGGCTTCTTTGCCACCTTCCATAGTAACACGCACAAGTTCCTCAAGAACAGATCTTCATACTAGAGCAACAAGATCAAAATTAAGAACCCGCGTGATGTAGTTTATGAAAAGTTTAAATAGTCTATTCCAAAAACAAATGCTTAATTAGTTATTTTTTAAGTCATCTAATGAACATGATCAAAATTAATGGTTTGTTGGTTGAAAAATTGAATATTAAAAAGAAAAATTATAAAATATCATATATATATATTATAGTTATTTATTTAAACTTTGTTTTGTATATTTCACTTCTTTATCTAGTAAAGAAAATAATAACAACCAAAAAGTTAGTTATTCAGTTGAGGTATATAATAACTAACTTTCACTTGTTATTATTGTTCTATTTCATTAAAAATAAACAAAACTAATTAAGTTTTGAGAATCCGAAGAAAATCCAAATGTAGTGTTACGTGCGTGCGAATGGAATGGCATATTTATAATCGTATATATAGGCATAGCACTCCAACAAACTAGCTTAATTATATTCATACATCGTTCTTTCTCTGAAGCTGCAGAACTAATAGAGTTGTCATTCAAGTTAACTAATTAGTGCTTTTTTACATTATCTTCAATTCAAATGAATATATTTTTCTCGACTTGTTTGTATCCCAACAGTATGTCATCTATTAATTGTTTAATCAGTATTGGTGTACAAGTATGTGTGATTGAGAATTTCATATCGGATATAAATGGATATATTGAGTAATATATGACTGAGAAAAAGCTATAAATATGGTGCTTTAAAATATTGGATTAAGATGTAATCTTAAGTTTACTTGTTTGTGTGGTTGATTAATGATTTATTGATGTGGATTTCTTAGTATTTAACTCTATCATATATATCTATTTATTTATAATATAAAAGTTGAGTTACTCTATATTACGACAATACGTTATTTTAAAATAAATTTTAAGTGTTGTCATGTCATTGAAAATATCTTCCTTTTTCTAGTATATCTCTATCTATGTAAACCTAGCTATAAATTAACTTTTGAAAACCTAGGTACAAATCCAACTCAAAAGATTTAGCCTCTCCTATACCTCCCAAGTAGATTGATAGTCTTACCACTATCGTTGTCATACTCTATCTTTTTCTCAATTGACTTCCTCCTCCCCAATATGATGTCCCTATCTTTCTCTCCTCCACAACCTTCACCTTGGCCAAATGTGACACTAAGATCAACCTCTTCATGCCGAGATTGTGCTTGATGAGGATAAGATGTCATCCATTTCTATTTTATTTGTTTTCTTTCTTATTCGGATAGATTGACAACCTACCATTGTAGTTGTTAGGCTCTACTTCTACTTCAATGACTACCTCATCCATAATATGACACCCCTATCCTTTTCTTCTTCATCGCCTTCATCTCAGCCAAATGTGACATCGACATCAACCTCTTTGTGTCAAAATCGTGCTCGTTAAGGATAAGAGGTAATCTATTTCTATCCTATTGTTTTCTTTCTCTTTTGATTTTACAAGTAACTTATTCCTAAATGTGTTCTTAACTTATTATATGGATGAGGTAGTGTTGTGTATGTGATTCTTGGTAGATGAGGTAGTGTTGCATATGTGATTCTTGGTAGATGAGGTAGTGTTGCATATGTGATTCTTGGTGGATGATGCAACCTTGCACTGTGAGATCTCTATGGATAGAGTAACAGTGCACAAATCTCTCATGGATTTGAATTGTGAATTATTAATAGATGAGATATATGAATCCTAATGGATTAGACAACATCCCACTATAGGATTTGGCATGGAATTAAACAACGGACTTTTGAAGAATCATGGAGTAGAATTGCAAACTTTGGTAGAATCATGAAACTGAACTTTTTCTTCATCTTTACAAATTTTATCCATTATTTTATTTTAATTTGTATGTTTTTCTTTGTTTATAAGTTTTAGAATTACTTTTTGAAACTATATTTTTAAAATTATTTAAATTTTGTTTTAGAATCTTCATAATTTTTTGTTATATAATTTTAATTGAACAAAATAAAAATAATTTGAATGTCATTATGTTACGTTGTAATTGTTGGTAATATTCATTTTTTTCATATTTCATTCACTCCTTGTAGTTGAAATTTAAATTATTACCTCTTATTTTTCTTCATTCTAATTATAAATCATATTTTATTTTTTAGTTTTTATTTAATATCTATATATTATCATCTTCTTCTCTTTTAAATTCTTCTAAACTTCTTTTTTCTTTGAGCAAGAAATGTGTAATGTTAAAGAGATCAAATGAGACATTACACAAAGTGATGATAAAAGAATTATAAAAAATAAAATGTCAAGTTATCAATAAATAAAATAAATTACTTTTTTCCATTATTTGCTAAATTACATCATAATAGGTATCTCTTCATTACAAATTAATCATCAATAATAACTCCTAATTAACTACAAAAGTCATGTTAGTAAAAATGCTACTTTGCATTACATCAACATGTCAATCTAAAATGTATCTAAAACATTGTCATGTTAGTAAAAATGCTTACATGTCATCCTATAATATAATTCTTATTCTTATATATCTCTATAACTACAAACCCTATATTTTCATAGTCACAAAATCTAAATATTTGAATTAACTTTTTCAATAAACTCTCTGGTCTAACATATCCACAGCTCATCCACCTGTGGTGATTGCACTTCATCGCCTTCATTATCTCTCACCACTTACCCACCTTCTCCATGCCCATCCTCCAAATCTTCTTCGGTCGCAACTTTTTTGTTGAAGCTAAAACCACAACGGTCACTCCTTCACATTCATCATCCCTCGCCACATCTTCACCCTAAATCCTCCAAATTTTCATCAATCACAGCTTCTCTATTGAAGCGAAAATCACAATGATCACACCTTCGTCGCCTACGTGTGATGACTGCTCCTCTGTTGCCTCCACTATCCCTCACAACCTCCCCACTATAGTCACTCATCTATTGT